CTGTCCCATCGCCACACTCTGCCATGTGCCACTTTCAGGTCTCCTCACACTGCTGGTGTGTGTGAATTTTTTGACATAGGGTGCTGGCAGATTACGGGCCTCCCATAGCTGCTGCCAGGCCCCTAATCTGCCATAGGCCCCTATATACCGCCTCCTCATGCTGCTGCCAGGTCCAGAGTCTGTCATGGGTCCCCCCCATGTACGGCCTCCCATTGCTGCTGTCTCCATCGCCACACTCTGCCATGCCATGTGCCACTTTCAGGTCTCCTCACACACTGCTGGTGTGTAGAATTTTTTGACATAGGGTGCTGGCAGATTACGGGCCTCCCATAGCTGCTGCCAGGCCCCTAATCTGCCATAGGCCCCTATATACCGCCTCCTCATGCTGCTGCCAGGTCCAGAGTCTGTCATGGGTCCCTGTACGGCCTCCCATTGCTGCTGTCTCCATCGCCACACTGCCATGTGCCACTTTCAGGTCTCCTCACACACTGCTGGTGTGTAGAATTTTTTGACATAGGGTGCTGGCAGATTATGGGCCTCCCATAGCTGCTGCCAGGCCCCCCCTAATCTGCCATAGGCCCCTATATACCGCCTCCTCATCATGCTGCCAGCCAGGTCCAGGTCTGTCATGGGTCCCTGTACGGCCTCCCATTGCTGCTGTCTCCATCGCCACACTCTGCCATGTGCCACTTTCAGGTCTCCTCACACACACTGCTGGTGTGTAGAATTTTTTGACATAGGGTGCTGGCAGATTATGGGCCTCCCCATAGCTGCTGCCAGGCCCCTAATCTGCCATAGGCCCCTATATACCGCCTCCTCATGCTGCTGCCAGGTCCAGAGTCTCTCATGGGTCCCTGTACGGCCTCCCATTGCTGCTGTCTCCATCGCCACACTCTGCCATGTGCCACTTTCAGGTCTCCTCACACACTGCTGGTGTGTAGAATTTTTTGACATAGGGTGCTGGCAGATTACGGGCCTCCCATAGCTGCTGCTGCCCCTAATCTGCCATAGCCCCTAATCTGCCATGGGCCCCTATATACCGCCTCCTCATGCTGCTGCCCAGGTCCAGAGTCTCTCATGGGTCCCTGTACGGCCCTCCCATTGCTGCTGTCTCCATCGCCACACTCTGCCATGTGCCACTTTCAGGTCTCCTCACACACTGCTGGTGTGTAGAATTTTTTGACATAGGGTGCTGGCAGATTACGGCCCTCCCATAGGCCTCCCCCTATAGCTGCTGCCAGGCCCCCTATCTGCTGCCATAGGCCCCTATATACCGCCCTCCTCCTCATGCTGCTGCCAGGTCCAGAGTCTGTCATGGGTCCCTGTACGGCCTCCCATTGCTGCTGCTCCATCGCCACACTCTGCCATGTGCCACTTTCAGGTCTCCTCACACACTGCTGGTGTGTAGAATTTTTTTGACATAGGGTGCTGGCAGATTATGGGCCTCCTATAGCTGCTGCCAGGCCCCTAATCTGCCATAGGCCCCTATATACCGCCTCCTCTGCTGCTGTCCAGAGTCTGTCATGGGTCCCTGTACGGCCTCCCATTGCTGCTGTCTCCATCGCCACACTCTGCCATGTGCCACTTTCAGGTCTCCTCACACACACTGCTGGTGTGTAGAATTTTTTGACATAGGGTGCTGGCAGATTACGGGCCTCCCATAGCTGCTGCCAGGCCCCTAATCTGCCATAGGCCCCTATATAGCCTCCTCATGCTGCTGCCAGGTCCAGAGTCTCTCATGGGTCCCTGTACGGCCTCCCATTGCTGCTGTCTCCATCGCCACACTCTGCCATGTGCCACTTTCAGGTCTCCTCACACACTGCTGGTGTGTAGAATTTTTTTGACATAGGGTGCTGGCAGATTACGGGCCTCCTCCCATAGCTGCTGCCAGGCCCCTAATCTGCCATAGGCCCCTATATACCGCCTCCTCATGCTGCTGCCAGGTCCAGAGTCTCTCATGGGTCCCTGTACGGCCTCCCATTGCTGCTGTCTCCATCGCCACACTCTGCCATGTGCCACTTTCAGGTCTCCTCACACACTGCTGGTGTGTAGAAATTTTTTGACATAGGGTGCTGGCAGATTACGGGCCTCCCATAGCTGCTGCCAGGCCCCTAATCTGCCATAGGCCCCTATATACCGCCTCCTCATGCTGCTGCCCAGCCAGAGTCTGCCCATATACCGTCCCTCCTGTACTGCCTCCCATTCCTGCTGTCTCCATCGCCACACTCTGCCATGTGCCACTTTCAGGTCTCCTCACACACTGCTGGTGTGTAGAATTTTTTGACATAGGGTGCTGGCAGATTACGGGCCTCCCATAGCTGCTGCCAGGCCCCCCTAATCTGCCATAGGCCCCTATATACCGCCTCCTCATGCTGCTGCCAGGTCCAGAGTCTGTCATGGGGGTCCCTGTACGGCCTCCCATTGCTGCTGTCTCCATCGCCACACTCTGCCATGTGCCACTTTCAGGTCTCCTCACACACTGCTGGTGTGTAGAATTTTTTGACATAGGGTGCTGGCAGATTATGGGCCTCCCATAGCTGCTGCCAGGCCCCTAATCTGCCATAGGCCCCTATATATACCGCCTCCTCATGCTGCTGCCAGGTCCAGAGTCTCTCATGGGTCCCTGTACGGCCTCCCATTGCTGCTGTCTCCATCGCCACACTCTGCCATGTGCCACTTTCAGGTCTCCTCACACACTGCTGCTGTGTGTAGAATTTTTTGACATAGGGTGCTGGCAGATTATGGGGGCCTCCCATAGCTGCTGCCAGGCCCCTAATCTGCCATAGGCCCCTATATACCGCCCTCCTCATGCTGCTGCCAGGTCCAGAGTCTGTCTCTCATGGGTCCCTGTACGGCCTCCCATTGCTGCTGTCTCCATCGCCACACTCTGCCATGTGCCACTTTTTCAGGTCTCCTCACACACTGCTGCTGTGTGTGTTGAATTTTTTGACATAGGGTGCTGGCAGATTATGGGCCTCCCATAGCTGCTGCCAGGCCCCCTAATCTGCCATAGGCCCCTATATACCCCTATATATATACCGCCTGTGCCACTCATGCTGCTGCCAGGTGGTCCAGAGTCTGTCATGGGTCCCTGTACGGCCCCTCCCCTCCCATGCTGCTGTCTCTGCATCGCCACACCTCTGCCATGTGCCATGTGCCACTTTCAGGTCTCTCCTCACACACTGCTGGTGTGTGTAGAATTTTTTGACATAGGGTGCTGGCAGATTATGGGCCTCCCATAGCTGCTGCCCAGGCCCCTAATCTGCCATAGGCCCCTATATACCGCCTCCTCATGCTGCTGCCAGGTCCAGAGTCTCATGGGTCCCTGTACGGCCTCCCATGCTGCTGTCTCCATCGCCACACTCTGCCATGTGCCACTTTCAGGTCTCCTCACACACTGCTGGTGTGTTGAATTTTTTGACATAGGGTGCTGGCAGATTATGGGCCTCCCATAGCTGCTGCCAGGCCCCTAATCTGCCATAGGCCCCTATATACCGCCTCCTCATGCTGCTGCCAGGTCTGCAGGTCCAGAGTCTCTCATGGGTCCCTGTACGGCCTCCCATTGCTGCTGCTGTCTCCATCGCCACACTCTGCCATGTGCCACTTTCAGGTCTCCTCACACACTGCTGGTGTGTAGAATTTTTTGACATAGTGCTGGCAGATTACGGGGGCCTCCCATAGCTGCTGCCAGGCCCCTAATCTGCCATAGGCCCCTATATACCGCCTCCTCATGCTGCTGCCAGGTCCAGAGTCTCTCATGGGTCCCTGTACGGCCTCCCATTGCTGCTGTCTCCATCGCCACACTCTGCCATGTGCCACTTTCAGGTCTCCTCCACACACACTGCTGGTGTGTAGAATTTTTTGACATAGGGTGCTGGCAGATTACGGGCCTCCCATAGCTGCTGCCAGGCCCCTAATCTGCCATATGGGCCCCTATATACCCGCCCCCTCCATGCTGCTGCCAGGTCCAGAGTCTGTCATGGGTCTCCCTGTACGGCCTCCCATTGCTGCTGTCTCCATCGCCACACTCTCTGCCATGTGCCACTTTCAGGTCTGTGCCACTTTCAGGTCTCCTCACACACTGCTGGTGTGTAGAATTTTTTGACATAGGGTGCTGGCAGATTACGGGGCCTCCCATAGCTGCTGCCAGGCCCCTAATCTGCCATAGGCCCCTATATACCCCTCCTCATAATCTGCCATAGGCCCCTATATACCATCGCCACCTCATGCCACTTTCAGGTCTCCTCACACACTGCTGGTGTGTAGAATTTTTTGACATAGGGTGCTGGCAGATTACGGGCCTCCCATAGCTGCTGCCAGGCCCCTAATCTGTCCATGTCCTATATACCGCCTCCCTGTACGGGGTCCCTGTACCCCCATTGCTGCTGTCTCCATCGCCACACTCTGCCATGTGCCACTTTCAGGTCTCCTCACACACACTGCTGGTGTGTGTTGAATTTTTTGACATAGGGTGCTGCTGCAGATTACGGGCCTCCCATAGCTGCTGCCAGGCCCCTAATCTGCCATAGGCCCCTATATACCGCCTCCTCATGCTGCTGCCAGGTCCAGAGTCTCTCATGGGTCCCTGTACGGCCTCCCATTGCTGCTGCTGTCTCCATCGCCACACTCTGCCATGTGCCACTTTCAGGTCTCCTCACACACTGCTGGTGTGTAGAATTTTTTGACATAGGGTGCTGGCAGATTACGGGCCTCCCATAGCTGCTGCCAGGCCCCCCTAATCTGCCATAGGCCCCTATATACCCCTCCCTCCTCATGCTGCTGCCAGGTCCAGAGTCTCTCATGGGTCCCTGTACGGCCTCCCATTGCTGCTGTCTCCATCGCCACACTCTGCCATGTGCCACTTTCAGGTCCACTTTCAGGTCTCCTCACACACTGCTGGTGTGTAGAATTTTTTGACATAGGGTGCTGGCAGATTACGGGCCTCCCATAGCTGCTGCCAGGCCCCTAATCTGCCATAGGCCCCTATATACCCCGCCTCCTCATGCTGCTGCCAGGTCCAGAGTCTCTCATGGGTCCCTGTACGGCCTCCCATTGCTGCTGTCTCCATCGCCACACTCTGCCATGTGCCACTTTCAGGTCTCCTCACCTGCTGCTGGTGTGTAGAATTTTTTGACATAGGGTGGGTGCTGGCAGATTACGGGCCTCCCCATAGCTGCTGCCAGGCCCCTAATCTGCCATGGGCCCCTATACCTGTACCCGACTCCTCATGCTGTGACTTGCAACAAGGTGGAATTCAACCCTACATATGTTAGAGACCCTGTACGGCCTCCCTTTACTGCACAGCAAAAGGCCATCACCACATTTCCTGATGTTAAAAGCGGATAAAGGTACTCCCACTGTGTAACTTAGAGAATGTCAGCCATTGGCAGCTCATGCGTGACACCTGCCTAATCTGCTCAGGCCCTTTGAGGAGGCCACGCTATTGCGTGAGTCGGCAGGACTATGGGATGAACGACGTCATTCCTCTGTTGCACGTCCTGGAACAAATGCTGTTAACAATGGCTGGTCAGGGTGCGGTAGACGTGGCGCACAGATCTCAACGCCACATGACCCCCCTCATGTGGGGGCAGGACAGGAAGAAGAGGAGGAGGTAGAGGAGGACATTGGTGCTCAGGAATTATTGAGTGAAATGGGTGGTTTTTTTCCACTCAGCGGACAGGAGTGGAGGAGCAGGAGCATCTGGTAGAGGAGGAGGAGGAGGATTACAGGGACCCAGACGCACCTGGCAGTATGCTGTGGAGATGGAGGCAGGGAGTCCCCTCGCATTCCTTGGCACAAATGGCCCATAGCATGCTCGGTTGCTTGCTAGCGACAGCCCACAATAATAACCATCAGACAGAGGGATGACTTTTGGCTGTCCACCTTGTTGGACCCTCGCTACCGTTCAAAAATGGTGGCCTTTTTCACACCTGCTGAGAGGGAGGCCAAAATAACGTACTATAAAAACCACCTATGTAGTCAGCTGGTCTCTGCCTGTCTGCGCCAACGTCCATAGCTCCTCAGACACTGTGGGCCCTGTGCGCTCGCGTTCCCGCTGCCATGGCAGCAGGGGGGGGGTGGGGGGTAGGAGCAGTGGCAGCTCCAGGCAGGCCAGCAGCGCTCTGCCTCAGTCTGCAGTCGATGATGAGTAGCTGGCAGATTACGGGCCAGCCATAGCAGTGAGGAAACTACTAACTGCCAGCCCACAGCAGCAGCAGCAGCAGCAGCAGCATCAGGTGGACCTGGAGCAGGACCTCAAACAACAGGCTTAGGCCTACTTGGAGCACCCTGCCAACCGAGGTAGACAATCCCCTTGACTACTGGCAACAACGAAACTTGACCTTTGGCCCCCAACTAGCTGAATTTGCCCTTGAAAGGCTGTCATGCCCGGCCAGTAGCGTGGCATCGGAGCGCGTGTTTAGTGCGGCAGGAGGTATTGCAACTCCGCGGAGGACACGACTGTCCACCCACAAAGTGTGGAGAGACTGACGTTTGTGAAAATGGAATGCGTGTGTATTAGTCTGGATTTCAAACCACCAGTTCCTGACACAACTGACTAAATCCGCCATGAATCATGCCCAAACATGTGCCACTTTCAGGTCTCCTCACACTGCTGGTGTGTGTCCATTTTTTGTCATAGGGTGCTGGCAGATTACGGGCCTCCCATAGCTGCTGCCAGGCCCCTAATCTGCCATGGGCCCCTATACCGCCTCCTCATGCTGCTGCCAAGTCCAGAGTCTCTCATGGGTCCCTGTACGGCCTCCCATTGCTGCTGTCTCCATCGCCACACTCTGCCATGTGCCACTTTCAGGTCTCCTCACACTGCTGCAGTGTTGAATTTTTTGACATAGGGTGCTGGCAGATTACGGGCCTCCCATAGCTGCTGCCAGGCCCCTAATCTGCCATGGGGCCCCTAGGCCCCTATATACCGCCTCCTCATGCTGCTGCCAGGTGCCAGAGTGTGTCATGGGTCCCTGTACGGCCTCCCATTGCTGCTGTCTCCATCCCCACTCACTGCCATGTGCCACTTTCAGGTCTCCTCACACACGACTGCTGGTGTGTTCTGAATTTTTTGTTGACATAGGGTGCTGGCAGATTACGGGCCTCCCATAGCTGCTGCCAGGCCCCTAATCTGCCATGGGCCCCTAAACCGCCTCCTCATGCTGCTGCCACAACTCCAGAGTCTCTCATGGGTCCCTGTACGGCCATGATTGCTGCTGTCTCCATCGCCACACTCTGCCATGTGCCACTTTCAGGTCTCCTCACACTGCTGGTGTGTAGAATTTTTTGACATAGGGTGCTGGCAGATTACGGGCCTCCCATAGCTGCTGCCAGGCCCCTAATCTGCCATGGGCCCCTATATACCGCCTCCTCATGCTGCTGCCAGGTCCAGAGTCTCTCATGGGTCCCTGTACGGCCTCCCATTGCTGCTGTCTCCATCGCCACACTCTGCCATGTGCCACTTTCAGGTCTCCTCACACTGCTGGTGTGTGTAGAATTTTTTGACATAGGGTGCTGGCAGATTACGGGCCTCCCATAGCTGCTGCCAGGCCCCTAATCTGCCATAGGCCCCTATATACCGCCTCCTCATGCTGCTGCCAGGTCCAGAGTGTGTCATGGGTCCCTGTACGGCCTCCCATTGCTGCTGTCTCCATCGCCACACTCTGCCATGTGCCACTTTCAGGTCTCCTCACACTGCTGGTGGGTTCCATTTTTTGTCATAGGGTGCTGGCAGATTACGGGCCTCCCATAGCTGCCAGGCCCCTAATCTGGGGCCCCTAATCTGCCATGGGCCCCTGTTGTCGCTTGTTGGCATATTCCGCTCGTTCAGATGCTCCTTCTCCTGCTACTCCTCTTCACGGATTCCGTCAGCAGTCTTTCTTGGAATCCGTTTCCAAGAGACAACAGTTTGCGAGCACGCACCAGACGGTGCAGAAACTGAACGTCCTCCTGTCCAAGTTGCTGCTGCCGGCTCGTAATCTGTCATGCGCCCCTGTACCGCCTCCTCATGCTGCTGCCAGGTCCAGAGTGTGTCATGGGCCCCCGTACCGACTCCAAATGCTGCTGCCAGGCCCGTAATCTGTCATGGGCCCCTGTACCGCCTCCCCATGCTGCTGCCAGGTCCAGATTGTGTCATGGGTCCCTGTACGGCCTCCCATTGCTGCTGCCAGGCCTGTAATCTGCCATGGGCCCCCGTACCGACTCCTCATGCTGCTGCCAGGCCCGTAATCTGCCATGGGCCCCTGTACCGCCTCCTCATGCTGCTGCCAGGTCCAGAGTGTGTCATGGTCCCTGTACGGCCTCCCATTGCTGCTGTCTCTATCGCCACACTCTGCCATGTGCCACTTTCAGGTCTCCTCACACTGCTGGTGGTTTCCATTTTTGTCATAGGGTGCTGTATGGCCTCCCATTGCTGCTGCCTCCACCGCCACACTGTGGCTCCACACTCTGGTTTTGGCCCCGTGACTGCCCAAATGAGTGAAGTGTGCGGTGATTCTAAGATCGACGGCACTCATCTGCATGTCATACTGCCTGACAGTATTATTTCTCTTCCCCAGCAGACTCCAAGGGCATTTAAATTAAAGGTACAGTGTTCAGCACTAATATTAAGTCTCTCTGAAGCCTAGAAACACCCTTTTTTAAGTTAAATTCACAGCGAATATATTCGACTCGAATCGAAATTTTTCTACGAATTCGCCGAATCAGTCGAATCGAATTTTTGAATACTTCGCTCATCTCTAGATGCAATCATCCACTGCCTTCTTAGGAACTAGTGACAGTGGGAAGCTGTTATATACTGTAGGGAATGTAGGACCTGGATGAGCAAACGTTCTGGTGTGCATAATGAAGCATTGGCTCATCACTAGCAGTGAAGCTATGTAATATTAATTCTAGGTTCACATTTATTAGTGTACTCCTTCATTTATTGCATTTTGTTTCATTATATAAATTCTGTACACAATTTTTAGATGTAATATAATATTTAGTAACATACTGTATATGCAGGTTATCTCAGTGTGGGGTGTGCTCATTATTAAAAAATAGATTAGGGAGGCAACAAGTGTGCCCACCAAGAGAAAGAAGTTACTTAATGAACTAATATGCATATACTCAAAATGTTAAAAAGTGTAATATGTATTGAAATACAAATAGTCTAAAAACACTTGTCCAGCAACAAGATGTCACTCATTGAACTTTTTACAGATTTTGAACACACACACAAATTCAATGAGTGACATCTTGTCTTGGACAGGTGTTTTTAGGCTATATGTTTTTCAATAAATATTACAGTTTTTAATATTTTGGGTATATCCCTATTAGTTCATTAAGTAACTTCTTTCTCTTGGTGGGTACACCTGTTGCCGCCCTAATCTATTTTTTAGTTGTGTTTGTGGTTACTACTCTTTAGTGGAGTGATGGCGGCCAAAAGAATGTTGTTATGCCTCTTTTCTGCCTCTTTTTTTTCTAAAGAGGAACATATTTAGGTGTGCTCAATGTACCTTTATTTACAGGTGACTTAGAGTAGTCTGGGTGTTATGCATGCACCCATTCTGTCCTATCAAACTATAATACTCATACTGTTATTTAAGTGTGCACATCTTTATAGAATATATGGCCATGGTGGTGACCATGTGTTTCTTTTTTTTTGTGATTTGTAATACTTATGTAGAACTTATGTAGAACCTTATGTAGTTTTTAAAGCTGGAGCCATTTAAACAGTTGGATACTCAGCAGCAATTCAGGTTTACAGCAATATACATCTAATGAGAGATGAGGCAGGTTTTATATTAAGATAAATAATATATTATCTGAGAGATAATAGTCACAATATTTTGAGTGCTGAACAGGGGCGGACTGACAACTCATGGGGCCCCTGGGCAATAGGGGATCATGGGGCCCCTGTGTCCTTGCCAAAACTCAAAAAAGCCTATAAAAAAAAGGTACCAGGGGCATCTCATGGGGCCCCCTACTGACCTACTGAGTTTCCAAATGGTCAGTCCGCCCCTGGCGCTGAAGTACTGGAATAGCTTTGAGTTAAAATGCAAGATTTTCCCTGGAGCAAACATTAAATATTTGGCAACTGAAGTCCAACTGTAAAAACAATGAGGCTGATTCATTAGAGAGGTAGCACACTTATGCCAAGTTGGTAATACATTTTGCCAGTGCCAAAGTACCACTTGCACAACCGCTAATGGTGAAAAAAAATTCTTGCAAATGTGCTACATTACTCAGGGTGCCACATATGATGCTTATATGTACAGTTGTGTTCAAAATAATAGCAGTCAGACATCACTAACCTGATCAATCACTGTTTTTGGTAGAAATTATATTTCTACATGGCAAATAATTTACTAGCAGGTGAAGTAGAGTAATAGAAATCCAACAGACCCAACAGTCATGACATGCATGCTGCTAATTCTGTGTAATTGAAACACTAATTGAAAGGGGCATGTTCAAAATAATAGCAGTGTGGAGTTCTATTAGTGAGGTCATTCATTCTTTGAAAAACAGGTGACAATTATTGCCCTTACTTAAGGAAGGAAGGCAGAAAATGTTGTACATGCTGGTTACAGTGCATTTCTCTCTGAAATTCTGAGGAAAATGGGTCGTTCCAGACATTGTTCAGAAGAACAGCGTACCTTGATTAAAAAGTTGATTGGAGAGGGGAAAACATATAAAGAAGTGCAGAAAATGATAGGCTGCTCAGCTAAAATGATCGCAAATGCTTTAAAATGGCAACCAAAACCTGAAAGACGTGGAAGAAAGCGAAAAAAACTACCATTGGAATGGATAGAAGAATAGCCAAAATGGCAAGGACTTAGCCAACAATCAGCTCCAGGAAGATCAAAGAAGGTGTAAAGTTAACTGTGAGTACTGTTACAATTAAAAGATGCCTATGTGAAGCCAAGCTATCTGCAAGAAGCCCCCGCAAAGTCCCACTGTTGAAAAAAGACATGTGCTGAAGAGGTTACAATTTGCCAAAGAGCACATTGACTGGCCTAAAGAGAAATGGCGCCATATTTTGTGGACTGATGAAAGTAAGATTGTTCTTTTTGGGTCTAGTGGCCGGAGACAGTTTGTCAGATGACCCCCAAACACTGAATTCAAGCCACAGTACACTGTGAAGACAGTGAAGCATGGTTGCTCAAGCATCATGATGTGAGGATGTTTTTCATACTACGGTGTTGGGCCTATTTATCGCATACCAGGGATCATGGATCAGTTTGAATACATCAGAATACCTGAAGAGGTCATGCTGCCATATGCTGAAGAGGAAATGCCCTTGAAATGGGTGTTCCAACAAGACAACGACCCCAAACACACCAGTAAACGTGCAACATCTTGGTTCCAGACCAACAAGATTGACGTTATGGAGTGGCCAGCCCAATCCCCGGATCTTAATCCAATAGAAAGCTTGTGGGGTGACATCAAAAATGCAGTTTCTGAGGCAAAACCAAGAAATAGAGAAGAACTGTGGAATGTAGTCCAATCATCCTGGGCTGGAATACCTATTCACAGGTGCCAGAAGTTGGTTGACTCCATGCAACACAGATGTACAGCAGTTCTCAGAAACAGTGCTTATACAACTAAATATTCATTAAGTGATTCAAAGGAAAGCAAAATCTTCAAACATTTTTCAGTTTATATAGTGAATGTTTGAGTTTGTAAAGAAGAATATAAACACTGCTATTTTTTTGAACAGTCTAATATTCACTTTTCTTTAATTTTTTTTAGAGGAACAACACAAATTTGATATATTTTTCTTCATGTTTTGATTTGGAATAGAATGTGTAGTGTTCCCAATGCATTTGTGTGTATGGAAATAAAAGCTATTAGAAGGATG